ATAGTACGAATACAAAATCAAATAAATTATAGTACCCATACAAATGAAATTAGTGATATAAAAATGGACGTAAAGAATGAATTTTTTTTCTGACTTCGTGCGTCTTTGTTCTATATTGTGTCTTAGCAGGAGAAATATAAGAAAGATTTTAAGGCGTCAATGGATCACGAGTATCGTATATCTATATACCACACATTCACAATGAAATAAACGGACAATCCCCGCGTCGAAGGTCGGCACCTTACGAACTAAATGTAATTGTAGTCTTTAACTCTATGTGTTACGTGATGTGAAATTTATAACGAGGTGCGACGAGCGCGATCTGACGTTGCATGCGAAAATGTGACTTAACACGACGGTGTAAAGTTAAAATTATCTTGATACGAAACTAATTCGCCAAATAATCAAGTAAAAACCGTAAAAAGTGACTTAGAATATCGACTATACGAAGACAATTTTGAATTTAAGCTCCAACTTTATAATGTCAGAATGTGTGTGACATAGAGATTGTCCCTGATTACCGGATTTAGTAACAGGCCGAGATGATCTAGTGGCATCCAGTAAATGGCGGTATAACCAACACATAAGAATATTATATAGTTGCAGCATATATATGTCCCACTGGTAGGCAAAAGTAGGAGACATTTCTTAAAGGGGTTTTGGGGTAATCAGTCTACTGACACAGTCTAACTACTACTAACTCTCGGTTATCGGAGGCGTCTAGCCGAGGCAATCGTGCCGTGCGGTGCGGTTGGGCCTGAGATGCGGCCGGAGTAAATATCCGCTAGGATTTTCCTGTCACTCAAATTAAAATTGTTCACACTATATGTGCGGTAAAAAAAACCGTGGGTCATACTCATTTAAAGATAAGGTATTAATAGCATCAGTTTTACATACACATTCGATTAAACGTGAAATAAAATAGAATTAGTTTTTTTTTATTACTTCTCGTTCTGACAACCCTAGCAATTTATTATTTATGTTCGATGTTGTCGGCTTTTCCGACAACATCGAACGCGATGACTGACTGTATGTTCTTCTTAGGATCTCCAAACAATTTATTCCTCAGATATGCTCGTGTCCTCACAATGATTTCCTCCACCACTGCGTGGTCAACTAGCTCTTAAAATTGTATTTATCAATTTCATTTCCGTCAGCCGGGATAAAATCCAGGTTGCTCGCCAAGACTAAGAAGACTATACTCGTAGACTAATTGCTCCATAAAAATAATGTCCTCCAGACCGAATTTCCATCATGACGGCCAGTCTCTTCGGAGACTAGCCATCAGCGCAGGACACGGTTACAGTGCGCAAGTGTATGCGCAAGAACAGATGCACTCTGTATTCCCTTACTCGCATAACCCGATGGGACGGTAAACCGACACGACCGGAGAGAGATCAGGCGCAGAAAACGGCTTTACGTGCTTTCCGAGGCACGACTGTGAGACACCACTAACTTCCTGACTCCGGGCAGCTACTGAGACCTTCTTAACGGAAAAACTCAATAACTGATTTTTTCGTCCGATACCGAGATTCAAACCCGGGACCTCGTGATCTGCAGTCGCACTAATACAACCACTAGATCAACGATGCAGTTGATTGCTTCGTAACCCTATCTGAAATGAGAAGAGGCCTGTAACCAGTGAGACGTATAATTATATAGGCTGTAATTTTACTTAACGTTTGAAGTAGGTTTGTATATTTACGTACGATTGTATTGCGTATGATAAAGTAGTTCACACTTACGGCAACAGATGGCGGTGATATAAACTAATTCGTGATCAAATGTAATCTTAAAGAAAAAGGCTTCAGTTGGATTAGAACTGAGATCAAAGCATTCGCCGGCAAATGTCGGAACGTACTCGACGCATAACAAAAAAAAAAAAAACAGTATGTCAAAACGGAACTGTTCAGTTCAGTCTTCGCAGCGCATTTTTCAGTATAAAGTGTTTGAACACAATGAATTTCTTTTATATATACAACTTATAGAAGTGGCAATTTCAGAACATCTGTATACGCGTTTTGTATATGGCAAGAAACAAAACTATTGCATGTTTGGCGCTGCGAGAAAAATTAGAACAAGACTATAAACGCATCACTAGACTGAATTTATCGATACGAAAAATAATAGTATCGATATCGATATTTGTAGACTACGACACTGATTTCACCTGTATTTCATAAAACGTTATTTTGAGTTTGATGTATTCTTTTTGGCTAAGAGCATTGTAGACAATGCTACAATAAATGTAAAACGTCTAGAATACATGCCGTTCATTCAATTAGATAGAGATAAAAAGTGCCTCTTTCTCTGTCTAGTAATGCGTCGCTAGTGTTCTAAATGAACATGAATAACTGAGTACATCTAATATAAACCAGAACCTGAGTGGTTGACTTCACGACGTTTTCCTTATAGTGTATTATGAACCATTATTTGTGTTGAGAATTTATCTAGCTCCTTTACTATTACTAAAGCTTCGCCTCACACGTTGCTAACTGATCTAATACGGTTTGAAAGAATTGTCTATGGTCACTTTAGAAAATTTTTACATTTTTCTTAAAAACGTTCACACTAGGATATTCCCTTTATTGTGGAGACAGTTTACACATGTAAATTGTAAAAGGACAAACATCCAGATCAGATCCGGAACAATTATTTGTAGACACTCCGTGCGGGATTCCAACTCGCGGCTCGTCAGCATTAATACATGTCATTGATGCTTATAATTCTATTGTGTAGAAATTTTACACCGAATCTTTTAATAATTTTATGTATTGTTTACGGCCAAAGGCCTTGTAGTCAATGCCACTATAAAGGAAACAAAATCACGTATAAATTACTTTGTGATAAATTGATTTCTTTTTAGCGTTAGCAACGTGTTAAGTTCTGCCGCAAGTGATCCTGTAGGGAGGCTGGAGATATATAGAGTACATGCACATTGTGTATCGCAACTTTTTTTACACTTAAAACGTATCATTCTTGACTTAATTAATTGGCAGTGAATATATTTGTGTCAGTTTTTGTGCATTTGATTTATGACTCGTGCGGTAGAGGGCGCATTCATTTTTATTTTATTTAAAAATAATTACTTTTTTGTAAATTTCATCATCTTTATAAAAATACCATCATAATTATAAAAATAAATAGAATTATTCTTTATGTTCATAATAAAATTATATTTATAACAAAATAGTGGCAGCTCGCGTCACAAAATATATAAAAGTAAAGTATAAAGTAATATAGTATGTTCCGATATACATTTGCAGTATTATGAAATATTAACAAACTTGCAAAACTGTTCGTCAATGTTTGGTACAAATTTCGGAGACCAGTCTTCTTTAGAAAAAACATGCGGAACATTAACGCATAAACAAATTCTACAAACTTCACTAAAGGCCATTCCTATTTCCTATAGCTTTAATATTTCATCAATAAACCGGAGTTTTTCAAAAATATTAAAATGACTGAAGTGTATATCGAAATACGAGCATAATAATTTATAATATACCTACATTGTATATTATAGAAATATTACTAAAGGTTTTCCCGTTATGTAATTTATATTACCATATTATGATATTACAATATTCGTATTTTAATTTAAAATTGTATGATTTTCTATTGGTATGTATGTAAGATGCAACAATAAAATAAATCTATTATTAAAGTATTTAAAAAAAAATTAAATCAGGCAATATTTTAATATTTTATACATAACTACCCTCGTTTATTAAAAAAAATACTGTTTAAAATATAGTATAAAATAATATAAAAATGGAATTAATAATGTAAACGTGTCAGGATTGTGCCAAATAGAATCCATAATCTCTGCCTACCCGTCTCGGTGACAGGCGTGATTATCTACGTTATGTTTATATAAAAATCCATTTAAAAAGTTAATGAAGGACACAAACTTGTTCCAACTAGCATGATTTACACTTTTGACGTAAGAGGTTAGATGTTTCATAGAAGGGATCAAATCTGGATGGAATAAGACAGAAGTATATCTCCAGCCGCCCACACTTCAAACCCCAGTCACTTGGTCGCGTCGCAACAAGGCATCGAGCTGCAGCCACTCAACTATATGGGGCAGACATACATCAAAACCGATTACACGTTTGTGCAAATAGTACCATAACCCATCGGAATAAATGTACCGTCGGCAAAAAAAAAAACTAACTTCCTGATGAACAAAAAGATTTGCTATTTGATTTTGACTATTTTGCAATGAGTACATTATTTATAATCAAAATGCAGATGCGTTGTCACCCGTGAGGACTAAAATGGAATGCCTCGTAAAAAGGGTCTCGGATTCTCTACACACACCATACGAAACACAGCAGCGTTGAGCTGCTATTTTACGCTGCTATTCTGTGAATGTAGTGGTTAGAGGGTTGGCGTATATTAACTTATTTTATATCCCTAATGTTTCGAGCACTTTACAGCACCTGGTCTGGGACGGACTTAGGTGTTCGACGTCTCAATGTCATCATAGACATAGGATCCCAAGCGGATGCTATCACCCAACCACCCTACGATTCTCCCATAATTAATAAAATCAAATTCCAACCCAAGTATACAACTACAAGACTTCAAGATACAATAAGTTAATTCTGCGTAGATCGGAGAAAAAATTAATAATTTATAATCTGGAGGTAGCCGTGGTTAACTATGACATTGGGACGTCATACACCTCAGTCCTCCCGTGGCCATGGGTGCTGGAAAGTGCTCGTAACGTTGAGAATATAAAATAAGTTAATATATGAGATAAAATCCGTAAAAATACTTTTATTTAAATGTGTGTTCGCGTAAATATAAGAAAGCATTGTGTAAACCGACCTATAGACAACACCTATGACATAACCTAAAAAAATACAGTAAAGAAGTTTCGTGACTTTGACTGCATGGAACGAACGAATGACTGAGAATGAAAACCACGAACAGTTCAGTGGCCGCAACTCCGGTCCTCTCACGGTACTAAGATACAAAACTGCCGTTTAACTATACATAATAATATAATATATTTATTTATTTATTTACAGAACTTCATTATATTAAGATAATTACATACAAGGCGCGACGAGGCGGGTACACTCGCTGTACAAACAATTTCAATTTTAATTTGTGCCCGATTTTTGTCTAAATTTAATATTACACTGTGCCGAGTGTGGACAGGAAGGGATTTTACACCAACTGTATTACTTTATATACACACGAATGTATTAATGTTGCATTAATCCCCCCTCGCCCCTCACGTTCAGCACGTACATACACACGCGAGTTCTCACCCCCCACCCCCCCTTTCCCTGCGCCTGAGATCATGGTTCTGAACTTGTTTTAAATACAATTTAGAATTTTTCGCTTGTGCGCCATGTTGGTGCGCGTCGCTCATCTGAAAGTGAAAACAAATGCATTATTTTAATCTATATCACAACACATAAGTACACAAATTCGGCGAAGGAAAATGCACGCACGCCAATTAGTTCCACGTGCAAACAGAGCTCTTAAGGAAATATAAAGTATAAATAAAGACGGTTGACAATATTTAAAAAGTAGTTAAAACAGTTACAAGATTAGTCAAACATTAAGCTATTGTTATTAATGAGGGTAGAATTAAGTAAATACAAATAAGTTTTAGACCGTTTTTACAATAATCGAGGCATTCCATCTTAGTCCTCAGGGGTGATAACTGACAACGCGTCTGCATTTTTATTTTTAACTGAGGATAGATGTAGATGTCTATTGGGCGCAGCATCCACTTACCATCGGGTGGACTGTGTTTCTATCGACTGACCGGATGCTTATTTATTACCCTATGATATACAAAAGAAAAGAATGGGGGCATGGCCCGGAAAAGTGCATGCTCTCACAGAATGTACGCACCTCACGTGTTGGCCGGACTTCGGCTGCCCCCCGCCCCACTGCCGCTCCCCCTGCACACGAACACAACATCATCACACACTATTTCTAGCATAACTAGATAGAGTGCTACTTCTAGTACAACTAGAATAAATAGAAATAGTACTATTTCTAGTAAAACCAGAATGACTAAAATACAAGAAAAATATATATATATATATTTTAATTTTAAGTCTATTGTTTTAACGGTAAAGGCTACAAAGGAATGAGATGAGACTAGAGAAGAAATGTTAACTGACCTGTATTCGTGTTGTCTGTAGAGCGAGTAGTCTGTGCGAGGACGTCGCGGACTGGGGCTGGGCGTGAGGCTGGGAGTGGGCACGAGGTTGGGTGTGGGGTTGCGCGTGTGGTTTGGTGTGGGCACGAGGTTAGGCGTGGGGTTGCGCGTGGGGTTGGGCGTGGGCACGAAGTTGGGAGTGGGGCTGGGCGACGCGCTGCGGCTCGCGGAGCGCTGCGAGCCCGAGCCCGATATCGAACCGGCGCCCGAGCTGCCCGCCTGACTCACTGCCGAATGATATTATATTTTTAACGAAAGTGTACTTCTACTCCTAGCAACATTTTATTATTGAGCAATACTTGTGGTATGTAGGCAGATAATACTAGCAAAAATTAGCATAACTCTCGAAGGACCAAAAGACGAAATCTTCAAATGTGCAACTTTTCTTTGACATTGTACATTGAAAATTTGATATAGAACGTTGAATAATTTCAAATAATATTGTAGTATTCATAAAAACGCCTGACTCACTGCCGACCGATATTATGTATTTTATACGGATGCATTGATATCTTTTTACCGATACGATACCGATGCCGATACTCCGGTTTGAAAATCACAGTTGGTTATTTTTTGTCGTTATTAAGGAAACGCTGCTGTCCATCACCTGATTTGTTTGCCTCTATCACCTCTTACGGCACCCACGGGATGATATGGAATCGTGAATATTAATACACCACCATTACACAATAATATAAAGCAGAAGATAAATGATAAATTTATATTATCTAAAATAATATATTTATTTTTTAAATTATAGAATAGAACAGATTACAACAGATTCATTTTTATTCAATATAGATTATAGTAATTTTTATTGAGTCATTTTTTTACTTTTACTACTTGTTTGGAAAAAGCCTCTGTATTAGGAAGAAGCAACAAGAATTTTTTTAAGCACAATTTACAATATAAAATATTATACAATTGTTATGAAAACATTTAAAAACAACATGGTAGCGATCACTTCATTCTCAGGTGTTATTATCAGTCATGTATTCTTTAATAGTATAATAATCTTTACTAGAAAATTTTTGCTTAATATTTTAAATCTTTTGATAGATAAGGTCTGCATATTTACAAAATTACACACTTAGAATAGAATTATTAGTTATGAAAATTAATAATTGAGGTTAAAAGTGTTATATTAATGTTAAAGACTCGCTGCCCACGGTAAAAGGGGGAAACAGGCGGCATCTTGTTTTCCCTTTTATTGTACAGCGGGCAGCGAGTTTTTAAAATTAGTATAGAACTATTTTAAAATAGTGTTAATATTACCATTTATAAGATTTATGTTTAAACAAAAAAGTATCACCACATTTTGCGGTAAAAGGCTATTTCGTAAGTTTGTTTCAATGAGATACCTGCGGTGGAAAACAGGCTTTGAGATTAGCAACAGAACTTATTTGGAAATTGGAGGATATCTGTGTCACTTTTTTTTCAAAATTGGGTATGAGACGTCATTGTGCTAGAAAACGAGGTTCTAGATATTTACGAGAGTATTCATTTGAAATGAAAGGTGTCCTTCTATCGCCCATATATCGGTATCGATAGAGGATGCGACCCTCATTTTTAGGTAACTAAGTAGGTATTATGAGGAAAATTAACATAATCATTCATATCGGGTATCCGGCTCGAAGGTCCAAGTTTAGAAAACTTAAAAGGTGCAACTTTTCTTTGTATATTGAACAATTCAATATAGTATATTTTTTATATTATTTTTTCAAACGTTACCAGTTACCACCACATTAGTATTTTTTCTTGTATGTTGGTTTACTATTTACATACATAAATTTTACAAGGACACGCATTCGGGTCCGGAACAATTATTTGTAGATCATAAAAAAAAACTTGTACCGTGCGGGATTCGAATCCGCGGCTTTCAGCACTGCAATTCTCCATCTACAATCAGTTACTTAATCCGACCTGAACATACATACACGAAAATAAAAGTTTTAATAAGAACATGACTCACAGGCCAGGCGCGGCGGCGGCGTCAGCCGGTCCATGCGGCGGCGCGCCGCCACGTTGCCCACGCCCACGCCCCCCACTACGTTGGCCACGCTGCCCACGCTGCCCACGTGGCCCACATTGGCCACGCTGGCGGCGCTCAGCGCGGACGGGCTGGGCGTGGCACGGCTGCGCATGCCGCCAAAATCTGCGCACCGTACAATCATTTCATGTTCATTTAAAAAAAGTTATTTTATCTGTTCTCTAAAAATAAAAAACAGATAATAATGTTTTCTTATATTTACGCTAAGACTATACATTAAATGTATAGTTCCCGTCATTTCGTAAACAGATAAAAATAAAAGTAAAAAATATATATTCATAATTAATGACGACTTCATTCCAGAGACTTCAATCCACGAGTTTTTCTGCCACCAGGGCGGCGCTACTTAAAAATAAAATATAATAGATATTCCTAAAAGTGAGAAAACCAATAAAAAAAGTTAAACTTGCAAAAACTAAAGAGCAAACCAGTGAGACATTATTTTATGTATTAATATAATACTTTAAAAACTAATAAACTTTTATTTAAAACTTCTCAATTAAATGCCATTGTGTAACAAAAACTGCCCCTCAGTGTCAACTACGACATCGAGTGACCGATAGATTAACCCAAATTAACTCACAATTCAAATTCAAATTCATTTTATTCATTTACGGTATATAGGTCTTAATAATTTAACAAAAATACAGCCATATTCTACCTTCCAGTGTGCAAACTACTTAAATACAAGACTTTATTTATAATTAAAATGGAAAATTCTGATAATTACATTAGCATAATATAACCCTATTTGTATATTTGCACTACTAACATATTAATAACTCACTAAATAATAATATAATAAAGGTAATAATAATAATAAATAATATAGATAAAGTTGTGTTTCGTTCAATAAATTTAATAGTTGAAATTTAAAAACTGTCAAACAAATAATCGTCAATATTATAATACGCTTTTTTGGTTAAAAATGTGTTTAGTAGTTTCTTAAAAATGTGAAGGCTCTTAGACTCTCTTATGTATTTAGGTAAATGGTTATACAGACGAGGACCCGTGCTGAATACATTTTTTTGAAACAAAACAGTCTTACTATTGGAATGGCTCAATTTATCTTTATGACGCTGGACATTTAGTATTTTGTAAAGACTTAAGTTTTGACGTACAAATAAGACTTATATATATAGACATGGCATTGTTAATAATTTTAAATTAATGACGTATGACTTACAACTCTCACTTTGGTTAATTTTACAAATGGCTCGTAAGCATCTCTTCTGAGCATTAAATACAGTTTCTTTGTCCGTACAATTACCCCAGAACATAATACCATATCTAAGTGTAGACATAACGTAAGCATGATATGATGCCGTTACGGCGGATGTGTCTACAACTTTTCCAAGCATATATAACGCATAGGAAAAACGATTTAATTTCATACACACACTGCTCATATGACCAGTTCAAATTGCAATCTACATTTATACCCAAACATTTTATATTTTCTATGGTATTGACTTTTTGTCCTAGATAAATTATTAATTTTATTACATTTTTGATAGAATGTCACTAGTTTTGTTTTTTCTAAATTTATATTTAAATTATTTATGTTTAGCCAATTCATGATTTTCTCTAAAGCAAAATGTATGTTATTTTCTAAATCTATTTTGTTTTTACTAGTGAAAATAACTGTGCTATCGTCAGCAAATAATACTATTTTGTGATTAATGACGTTGGGAAGGTCGTTGATATAAATAAGAAATAACAATGGTCCTAAAACACTTCCTTGCGGTACTCCAGTTTGTACGACCCTGTATTCAGAAACATAGGTTATTTCTTTTCTTGATTTTAGACAAATTTTTGTAATGTTTGTACTTTGTTTTCTGTTAACTAAATATTATGTTAGTAGATCTAGTGCATTACCTCGAATACCGTAGGCTTCAAGCTTTTTAAGTAGTATTTTATGATCAACATAATCAAATGCTTTAGTAAGATCCATGTAAAGTGCACATACAGGTATTTTATTGTTAAGGCTAGACATAACGGTATTAAAAAAATTGTATAGAGCCATATATATAGTCTTATTTTTTCTAAATCCTATTTGTTCTTCTCTAAGAATATTGTACGTTTCAAGGTAGTTATATAAAGAGTTATAAATTATTTTCTCAAATACTTTTGAGAGCACAGGTATAAGTGCAATAGGCCTATAGTTAGACATATCCTCCCGATCATTTTTTTTGAACAGTGGTTTAACAATTGTAGACTTTAGTCTTTCTGGAAATATACCATTACAAATACATAAATTGATAATATAACTAAGTACCGGAGCAATTGCACCGGATTCACATTTTAAAACTCTTGTACAGATTTCATCACAACCGGTTTTGTTTGTATTTTTATATAAATAATGAATTGGGATTGTTGAAGGTTAACTTATATGGTTTATCACTATTTGGACGGCCTTTATTTTGTTGGTATAGAAATTATTAAATGCCCTAGCTATAACTAGCGGATCCTCAATTATATCACCATCAACAGTAATTTTACTAATTGCTTCTTCCTTTGTGCTATTTTTGTATTTATTTATCACTTGCCAGGTAGCTTTAGATTTATTTTATGCTGTGTTAATATAGTAATTATTTTGGGACTTTTGAGTAAGTTTGATAATTTTGTTTAGACGTTTTGAATACTCTTTTAATATAGGTATATTTTCTACGCTGCGTTTTTTTCTGTATTGCCATAATAACTGTCGTTTACGCTTAGTACATTTTTCTATCCCATTAGATGACCATTTTGTTTGTTTTCGTGAATAGACTTTAATTTTAATGTCAGGAAAGCACATACAATCAAGCCTGCTTTTCACTATGAGATATAATAGCTTGCTTTTCACTATCATTTAACCAGCGTGCGTTCGTCATTGGATTACCCTTGTACCCCGCACACCGTTCAGCGACGGAGCGGAACGGTGTTCGTGGTACTGGGGGCGAAATATAATATGAAAATATCGCTCGGTCAATCTAATAAATAATTATACTATTACATGTAATATATATGTATTAAATATCACTAAACGAATCCATTAAAAAGTACGGTGGGCGATATTAATTTATATCTCAAAATGTAATATAATATATTACATTATATCCCATAGTGAAAAGCGGGCTTTATTCACTATCGAAGATGATGTAACTAATCTATTTAGTTCATTTTACTAACAATTTTAATCTTTTTTGTATTTTTGTTTTTTTGTTGTCTACTTTTTGTTATTTTTATAATACCTATAATTAAAATACAGCTTTTTTTGCATGTTTCGATTGATGTTTACAATTACAATTTGTAAAGGTAATATCATGCTAACGCCTTAATAAAAAAAAATTAATACGTAATCCTAATAGCTGTAATAAAATAATATATGTACCGAGCGAAGGATTAATTGACTCACGAACAACCAGACATTGGTGTACAAAAACACTTAAACTATTAAAAAAATGTATGAAATCTCTATATAAATGTTATATAATTCTTCTGTCCGTGTTGATATGACTGAACTCCTAAACGGCTCGACCGATTTTGATGAAGTGTGTTATTAAGTTTATTAAAGAATGGTTTAGATTCAGAATCGTACCCGGTAGGTGGCGTTATTGTCGAGATTATAATATCTATACTTAATATAATAAAGCGGAAGAGTTTTTTTTGTTTTTTTGTTTGTTTAAACGCGCTAATCTCTGGAACTACCAGTCCGATTTGAAACATTATTTTTGTATATTATAGCCAGATTCATGTGGAATAGTATAGGCTATCTAGCATTAAGCTATATCACTCAGCTAGCCTTAAATATGCATATTTGTTAAGCAAGTCAGAAGAAAAAGCACTCCCGAAATGATTTATCCGCGTACGCTGGTGTTATCGTTAGGGATACGTAAATACAATGTTCTAGAAAAATATAGACCTTTACTCCGTCTAAAAAAAAGTTCGCGATACCATATGTCTATTTAATAAGCCATAATTTGATATTTTGTGACAAAAAATATTGAAAATTTAAATGTGATTTATGAGCGTTATTATTAGGCTACTACTTAAGTTACTTCATCATCAAGACAATTTTATGGAGATAAACTTTGTTCTTTATACCATGTTATTTGGACGCATAGTTTAAGAGATAATGTAAAATTAAAATAATTCAATACTTGGCTGGGCGCGCGAACGACGCTAAAACCCTAGCCGTTATAAAATGCTTGAACTAGGTCATGTCACGCACCTCGGACGTGATGACGCGGGTGAAACCGCGGGGCACAGCTAGTAATTATTATATTGAGAGAATAATAATAATTATTATAATAGACCCAGAAACTATATTGTAATAAGTCTAGGATGTACGATCTTAAAGGAATGGTTCTCGAGCAACCTTGTACCGGTAAGCAAAGTATGGTGCTCCCCCCCCCCCACACTAGATAGAGTGACGACCTGGTAAGACATGCATGAAGTCGATGGATGCAGGTGGATCAGGACCGTGCTTTGGGGCATACCTTGGGGGAGGCCTATGTTCAGCAGTGGTCTCCCCCCTATAAGTCTATCTATCTACGTATATCTAGACTTATAGGGGGGAATATTTCCCATAGTTGCCACACTTTGTAGGCAAATCGGCAAATGGCTGGGAGTCCTTTATATCGACGGGGTTCTGGGTTGCAGCCCAAAAAACCCATATATATAGATCCACCCTTGTGTTGGATCTAGAGAAAGTATTGGATGTTTATGTGTTGGTTGTAGTGTTGGATGCAAAGGTGTTAAGTGTTAAGGTTAGGAATGTTTGTGGAAGGGAGGCGCTCTTCACGCTAGGTTTTATTTTTAAAGGCGGATGTTAGCTGTTTAAGTGAGCTGTTTGTTGTTAAATATATATATAATAACAGTATACATAAAGGTGCGTACCGGCCGGCAGCAGATCTGCGTAGTGACGTCGCGCCCCGCCCGCCAGCGACGAGTACGCTGCGGACACACAGACACACACACTGTCATATCGGTAGTAAAGGGGACTTAGCACTTAATAATTTCACCAATATAAGAGTTGATTGTGACATTACGATTGACATACTGATGCATTCTCAGCACACATTTATATTAGTCCAGCGAATAAATGTAGGTCACCTTGTTATTTGCCTACTAAGCAATGTAATATATGTGACAATTTTCTAAATAGGAATATATATAGTGGATTTTATTCGCCTAGCGTTGGGATGTTGGCCCAGAATTGTGTTAATTGCGTGATAACTAGATGTCCTCATATGTTAGGAATGCATTCAACGTCATTGGGATGTTTGCCCAGTATTGGGATATTTGTTCAATCTTGTGTTATTTGCTTTATATGTTTATGTTATATGCTATGCACAGTACGTGGGAGGTTGTTTTTTTTTTATAGGAGCCGCCGCCCATGTACAACTGCAATACCAGTGGAATTGCAAGTACGTTGCCGGCCTTTTGGAAAGGACTAAACTCTTTTCTTGGAGGTCCCTAAGTCGGATCGATCCAGAAAAATCTCTGGTGGTAGTAGATTCCACAAGGAAGTTGTGCGAGAAAGAAAACTTCTTTCAAATCACACTGTGGTGGACCGCCAGTCATCCAGATGGTATGGATGTGCGATGGTGGTTTGCCCAGCATTGGGATATTTAACCAGACTTGTGTTATTTGCTTAGTATGTCAATATTCATGATATGTAGTCATCACAGGACGTATACAAGGCAGTGGGCCGTTAGGCCAGCGCTGGGAGCAGGTCCAGCGGCAGGCGTGGGACGGTACCTCGGATGACGGACAGCTCGATGGCGGCGCGCAGCTCGTCGTCCTCCGTACGCGACCGCATGCATGACATTGCCTGCACACAAATTTACACCTTATTACCGTGCAATAAGGTTCATTTTTAAGTACGTATTTATGTACATGGAAATAAATGTAGTAGGGATTGATTATGTATGTATCTGAACGAAAGAAGAAATATAAAAAGAATGATTGCGTGATGGAACGGAGGAATAAATAGGGTCATGCAAGATGGGGGTAGACGCATTCTGGGAGCGAAAGTTGAAACGTACATAGTTATTACACTTAAAAAGCGATATATAACTTTTATAACGCGGAACTTAGCTAAATAATTATAACATTTTGTCCACTCAGTGTTGCCAACTCTAACAAAAAAAATGTAAGAGCATGTTACCTGCGTGGAGTCCCGATGTCGAGAATTCTGTGCCGCCGCCCTTTGAGCTCGAGACCCTGCCACACAAAACGGCTCGTAAATAAGTTAGAAAAAGTGTACCTAATACAGGGTTATTTTACAATTACCAGCCGAATTTGCAGAGAACGTTTAGGATAAGTGATATAAACAAATGGCGAAGAAAAATTAATTTAAAAAGAACATGCGTGAGTGTCGTGAATACTCGACTGGAACGAAGTTCCATTCGTAGTATATTATTATTGACAAACGTATTATAATATTATTATTGATTAACAAATACAAATAAATGATTACTAGCGTCTATTAACATGAAGCGTCATTTAAACAATATTCCTTTCGTGGCAAGATAAGAAAAAGAGCGAGGAAAATGAATATTATTCCATTTCG